CTGTCAAACGATTAATCGCAATTAATCGCATCCAAAATAAAAGTTTTTGTTTACAATATATATGTGTGTATTGTGTATATTTATGTATATAAAATACATAAACATACAGCATATATTTTGAAAATATTTACATGTATATATTTATGTTCATATTATATATATATATATATATATATATATATATAAACATATTTCAACCAGTAAGGATACAAGGGAAAAAAGGCAAGAAAAATTAAGATATTTCACTAATTGACCATTTAATTAATGTATATAATGTAATGTAATAACTAGTGCTGTCGATTAATCGCATAATTTATATCATATATAAATATATTTAATATATAAACATAACATATTTTTCTTAAATATATACATGTATGTGTTTGTATTTATATATACATAATAAATATACACAGTAAACACACATGTATGTAAACAAAAACTTTTATTTTGGATGCGATTAATTGTTTGACAGCACTAGTAATAACCATTCATATCAAAGCATATTTAAAATGTAAATAAAGTGTAATAATACCATTTAATTTAACTTATATTGTTATATCAATGAGACAATAATAGCTCACAAAACAGCTGAACAAAATAAATAAATAAATAATTCTTGTACCATTTATTAACTAGGCTTTAGGGAAAAAGTTTGACTCCTAATGCACAGCGTTGCATTTTTGCTAAAAATGGTCTCAAATTTACTTGTAAGCCTCCCATAAAAAAAAAAAAAAGTAAAATGCTAACTTTGTAAATAAATATTTAGTTTTCCAAAAGTGGTAAGTCGTCATTATTTGATGCCATTTTGTGACTTTAGTGAGATGTTGCAGTTTTTAATCACATATAGTGAAAATTAGTTTTAGTATTGTATTTCACACTTTTGAATTGCTGCTGCAACTATATGCATACAGATTTCAGAAATTAGGTTTGCATAAATCACTCATCTATAACACATTTGCAGTTTAAAGGGAATATGCATACCTGGGTACATCTTACTGATCTCCTTAATGAAGTTCTCATCAAAGCCTGCGATGATGGCACCGCCGACCGGGACCATGAAGTTTTTATCAAGACTCTGGACAAAGGCATCGATTCTCCCAACGCGAGCCCCCTAAAAACACTTCATAAGCCAATTCGGTTTCACTGAAATAAGTAGATTTTGTAGTAAATTCACACAAAAAAAGATGAAATGTTACCTGCTGAATAAGGTGCATGCATTTGGATGACTGCATTCCATAAGCGTTATTGACTATATGGGGAATATCATGCTTTGCACACAGAACAGCAAGTTCCTCGAGCCTGTAAAAAGTCAACGGAATAAATAGACTTTAAATAAATTAAATTGAATTAAACTAAAATAAATACATTTGGGTCAAAGATGTTAAGAAAGTGATTTTATGTCCATAGAAAGTGCATTAAATGTAAGTAAAGTGTCTACTTTTAAGGTTTCAAATAAGTTTTTGGAGAATAAAATGTCACAATTTTTGGTTGAAAATGTTACATTGTCATTCAGTGTAACACAATATTTATGTAAAAATTCAAACAACATGCTTATTCTGACTTTTATATATTCTTTTAAAATATATAAAAGAATAAGGGAGCATATTAAATTTGATTGTGTTTTAAATGAGTAAAAAATACTGACTGACAAACGGGCAAAACCTAGGATCGTGGTAAATGTAAAAAATTTAAAATTACAACTAATTAGTATTTGGGGTGAAAGTAATATTATAATCTTATATATTATCTATAATTATAGTCTTTTAATATGCCATAATTTATTTTTGTTGTAAATATGCCGGACAAGATTGTTACGCTGAACGACATTTTAGTGGGTCTCTTCTGTAAATCAGGGGAAAATGTATGATATTTTTTTTTTGTTTTGATTCAGTTTTTTTGCTCAGAAAAACAAAAACAAAATTGCAATGAAATTAAACAGAATTATTTTTTTTGACATTTTTTGGGGAAAAACAACAACAATTTAAAGCAGTATTACACTTATTGTTTTTATGCTTAAACCCTTTTTCGTCTTTGACCCATTTACAAAATTCAAGCATTTTTGTCTAAGGCCTCCATTAGCGTTTCTCAAAAAAATAAACAAATAAATAAATAAAATTAAAAAAAAGAGAAAAAATATACTATGCGAGTAAATAATGACAGAATTTTTTCTCTTTTTTGGGAACTATTCTTTTATACTTTACCTATACACGCTTACGGAAACTTATGGTCAAATATTTATAGTAAAGAAACAACATATTTTAACTACAGGTTTTGACCTGCCTGTCAGGGACTCGTGGAGCGAAACAGGAAGTGGTGGAATGGACACACAGGAAGTTCTCAGCTCCCAGCTCCTCGATCTTCCTCTCCACTTCCTCCAGGTTTGTCCTCAGCTCGTCTCCTTCCAGCACATTCTCTATCACCACAGGCTCAAAGCCTTTCAAAGATGAAAAACATTTGGCGTAAGATTCACTATTAAAATAATTTTCTTTACTAATATAAATTAAGCTCCATGAAGGTCAACTATACTGCATATTCCTGTTTTTATGAAACATGAAAAATGTAAAAAATGGTGCAGAGACAATTTCCACGCAGAAATCGCTAGTAAATTTACAAAGAAACATTGAATTAAACGTGAAATTTTGAGGCATTAAAATGTGCTCCAATAATCATTATTTACAACCTCAAAAAAAAAAAAAAAAATTTTTTTTT